ACATGGCAGATTAAAGAAACAGCAGGCTAGAGAAGAACCAATGACATAGTACATACAGGATTCAGTTTAAGCTGCCGTGGCTAATAGTAGAGCTGACAGATAAACTTGAGCCAACAATATTTTGCAGGAGTTTTAGGATAATAATACATGTAAATAGATATAAATACCTTGCATATATTTCTTGTAAAATGTTGTACGTCAAAGGTTAGTGAAACTCTTTCTCCTTCTGCATGAGAATCTCACCTTCAGTTAACTTTCTAGCTCTTTGTCCCTGGAAGCCTGATAAGGTGGTGTCTTAAATTGGATTTCCTAAGTCACAGATTCTGAAGTTGCATGCAGGAAGTTTGTTGGGGAATTCTCTTGGGATCAGCACCTGTAGGGGAGTGAAAAAAATAGAATTTGGCAGGAGTTAAACTGCAGTACGGTCACAGCAAAGGCCTCATCTAACTCCATGGTAATCTCTGGATCTGGGATGGCTTTTCAGAGATTTTCTGCCTAAGCAAGATATAGGGCTTTTATAGAGCCATATCATTTCAACCAGTCTAAGTTGCCTCAGAGGTGGGATTGTAACTTTAGGCAAGATAGTGTTCTTTGGCTGAGAGCAATTCCTAGAGAGTGCCTCAGCTGGAGCTGTCAGCTGCTAACACTTGCACAGCTCAGGAAATAAGTGCTGTATAACTAAAGGGGGTTCTGGGAAGCATGCTATAGCATCTACTCTAAGTGGATGGTTGCTAGGCAACATTGTCTATGGTAGAAAATGACCCCTGATTGGTAAACTGCCTCTGAATTAGAAGGAATTATAATGGACTATAAATACCATAGCTTTGATTGTCCCTGAGGGTAGTAGCTCTTGTAATTGGGCATGTCACTTACAGGCAGGAACCCTGGAAGCCATGCCTGTGGAATTGTTGCAAGAGATATTGGTTTCTGTGGGATATAAGATTTTAAGTCAGGGTAACTCCTGCATATACCGAAGGTGAGTGTGATTCCCTTACTCCTGAGCTAACACCACATGGGCCAAAGAGAATAACTCCTGGAAGGCTATGTGGTCTGCTGCAGGAACTGTTGCGAGGCTCCCACTAAAAAGGAATGCCTGGTGCAGCCCTGATGGCAAACTGTGATTCCTACCCTGTATCTTTGGAGGTCAATGGATGTCAAGTGTGGCCCAGAGTAGTCTTGTGTACTTGTTTAGTTGCACTGGTAAGTGACTCCGTAAGTGGGTATTGTAGGCATTTTTTCAGATGAGTCTCACTTTTTAGAACGTTTTGTTTTAAAATCTAAAACTGCAGAATAATTTGATGATTTTAAAGTCAGGCTGAAAATATGTAAATACTTGAAGGTTTTTTTCCTACTGCTGATAGGCCACCGTTAAGAGATATTTGTCTCCATGGAAGAAAAGACTCAGCTATAGTACTAATCTCTGAAAACAGTAGTCTTTATGTGTGAACAGTGGAAAGAACTGTTCATTCTTAGCTCTCCTTTAGTCATAGATTGGTCATTTGGGCTTAGTTGGCAGTTTCCCTCATATCCTATGAGTCACAGAGTTTCACTGACTCTTCCTTTGTAATGACTCATTCCGTCCCTTCCTTTCCATTCACTCTGCTATCACCCTGAGTAGCAGTATAGTCTTTATCACCTCATATACGGATTACTGAACTGCTACCTTGAAAGTGCTCTCTGCCTTTAGATTTTGCCTAATCTGAGCTGCATTACCCATGAAATCCCAGACTAAATTCCATGATAGAGTTTTGTCTAGGGTTTTCAGCCTGTTCAGCCTGTGTAATCTAGATTTTCCTGGAGATAAGTTCCCTGGAAATAGTGAGAAGGAACACTGGAAAGATAGGTTTAGAGAAGATGTTGGCTAAAGAGTTCCGGGTATTTTTAGGCAATGGGAACCATTTCAGTAAAATGACCTTTTAGGCAGGACAATAGGTTGGTCAGAGCTAGGCTTCAGGAGAATTCATCTGGTAATACAATAAAGGAAAAGAATAGAAGAAATGAGACTAGTTAGGAATTTATGGTTAAGAGAACCCATAGTGAGGTGGGAATGGAAAGGATGGAATAGATAGGATCCCAATGGTATAAAGGAAGAATTGTTGACTGTGGGAAGAAAGCAGGAAGGACCTCACTGAGGTCAGATAGTGTGGATTTATAATGGGTCCATTGCTGTCCAGATAGGAATAGAGAAAGTAATACTCCTCACGCACTAATGCCTCTTATGTCTATGTGTTAACACCCTTCTGAAATTGCAGATGCATTAAAGGCCAGGATCACGGCTTACTTCTTATCATCCTTATACGTCCATTTCCAGCACAGAGCCTCTTGGGCACAGTTATCTAATCTCCTATATGTTTCTATTCTGTCCATATATAGAATAATATTTAGAACCAGTCCAGGTATTTAAGATTGTTAGTTCTGCCAACTGTCAGCAGGTGGAAACTCTGTTACCTCTCTTCCTGTTTCAGTTTTACGTTTATTTCATTGTGAGGTTTAACTAGGGTGACCAGATGCCTAGGTTTCCTCTGGCTAGTCCCAGTTTAGACCTGTTCTCCTAGAACAATTACTAATAATACCTTTCTTCACTCTCACACGTTTGTACAATAAGTTCTCTGGTCATTCTGGATATATGTTCAGAGAAGTGCTAAATATGTATTAATTTATAACTATAAAGAACACACTTGTGTATCTACCACTCCAATCAAGAACTGGAACACTGCCAGCCACCAGAAGCCTATTTCCCAATCACAACTCTGTCTCTATTCCTTAGAGTTAACTGCTATCATGATTTTTATGATAACCATTTTCCTTTTTAATCTAATGAAAGCTAACTTATCAAAGCCAAAAATGCCCTACAAGGATTTCCTTCCAGTTATTTTTCTTTTATTTATTTTGTATACTTTAAGTGTGGGTAATTTCATATTTATGTTACTAATAGATATCTTTGAAAGTATATTTGTGTTTTAGTATATGACTAAAGGTTGTAAGGAATCATCCTGAAGATAGATATTGTGTTTTCATTATTTATTTATTACACTACGATTTAATGAGCAAGACTCAAGGCCAATTCTTGGCCTCAAGAATTTGTAATCTAACAAGCAACTTTAATACTACAGATCATTCAGTGCAATGATGGGAGTATGTACAAGATGTTGTTGTAGGACATTACCTAGCCTTAGAGATGATTGGGAAGACTTTCTAGAGAAGGTGATGTCTCATGTGAGTTCTGAAGACAACTAGGCATTATGCAGGTGAAGGTGGTGGATGAAGTGGTGGCAGAGCACAGGGGTCACTTTCCAAACAAAGGAAATAGCCCAGAGACAAGAAAAGTATGGCACAGTTAGGTCACTGCAATTTGTTCCCTGCAATTGGAACATAGAATGTGTTGTCTTTGGTCTCTCGTGAGGGAAAAGGGTGTCTTTTGGTTCAAAGTATTTTGCAGGGCAGTGGTGAGAGATAGAGTTCAAGGCAGAAGCCAGATCATAAAAGGCCTTAAGTGTCATACTGAGTTTAAACTTGATCCTGAGGGCAATGAGAAAACTTTGAAGAGTTCTAAGCAGGGAACAAGTAATATGGCAACATGATCATTTTTGCATTTTTGAAAAGTTGTTCTCACTGTAGTCTTAGAGCATATTTTAAATGAGCAGTCCTAGAAGCTTGGAAACTGGGCTGGAGACCATCACACTCATCCACTTGTGAAACGATGGTCGCTTGAGCTAAGCAAGAGGAAATGAGAATGGAGAGAAGTGGGTGGATTTAAGAGACAGCTGGGGATAGAATCAAGAGGATTTTAATGATTCATTATATGTGGGGTTTGAGGGAAAGAGAAATAAAAGATGTGGAGATTTCATCTGGAGGTGGGGAGCAAAGACAGTGACACAGGTTTGTAGAGGAAATTTTTAGTGCAGTGTTAAATTGGTTGAGTTGGAGGTGTCTGTGGGACATCCAAAAGGAAATGACCTTGGGTCTGGAGCTCTGGAGAGAAATTTAGGGCGGAGATAGACATTAAGGAACAATAGCTTCTAGGTGCCAAGCGAAACCATTCATATGGACCTTAATATGATATTATAAAGTTTCTGAGATGGAAAATGTGAATAGATGGCGTTCATTGTCTAATAACCATGACATTTTTAGGGAATTAGTCTTTTGGTGTTAAAGCTTCCAAGAAATGTTTGCACAAAACTTTTTCATGATCTGTTTAGTTTTTAGCAGTTTTGATTTTTGATCAGTATTATTTAGCTCTTTGGGGTTTTTTTCTTTTTCACATTATCCAGGTTTTAGCTTTAACCACAATATGTGTCAGCTATAGAAACAAATAAAATAATAATGAAGTTGTTATGGAACTTTTGGAATTAAAGCAACATGCATTCATTTCTTAGGGTTTAGCAAGTTAGGAGAAAATGTAAAGCCCTTGGGTTTATATGTTTAGATTTCTCCCAGTTCTAAAAATAAAATCTGTGTGGAAAATGCTTTTAGAAAAAAAGTATATTTTTTAAATAATCTAATAGAAAATATTTGTTGTTAATTTTCTACTCATTGTCAGCTTACAGAGATACTTAAAATTTTATAAAGCAAATGATTTAGATGTTGTATAAGTATTTTCATATATAAATATAGAAATGTATCTGAATTTTTTTTAGTATCACACTGTTTTGTCATGAGACCACTATAACTTTCTGCTATGAAATTCTAATGTACTTAGATATATTTTAATATCTCAAATATACCTAGAATGCAATTTCCCCTCAAAAATGTGCTTATTTTAAATATTTTGTTTCAGAAAATTATTGTAACAGTTAAGCTTAGCAGTAATTTACTAATAGTTTAATACTAATTTATTCTCTAATTTGAATTTTCAGTGTAGTTCTATAGTGTTATTACTATTTTGAATGAGCTCTAACCGTCCTATTTTTTATGCTGTGTAAGCAAGTGTATAATTTAAGTTTTGATTACTATAATAATTAGATACAGGATATAATATATGATATTTGTTTTCTTTATAGGAAAATGGTTCTCCTGAAGAGCATACGGTCTATGTGTGGGACCATTTCATAGCCAAGTCTGCAGCCGAGAATGTATTTTTTGTTGCTCACAGCTATGGAGGACTTGCTTTTGTTGAACTGGTAAGTGCACATTTAACTCTACTTTTAATTCCCAGACTCTTTACATGTTCATCCCCTCCACTCCTTTTTTTCTTGGTATCATTACTTTAAATTATTTTATAAAGGATGAAAATAAAGTATTTTGAGTAAATGATTTTGTGACATTTAAAGAGAGTACATAGACTTATTTATTTTATTGTGGCAGAGCTTTTCAATGCTAACCAGAAAGCTTTTGATTGTTCCTTATTTACATATTACTTTTTAATTTCGACATATAGCCCCAGTTTCCATACATCTTATGATATTTATGTTCCCTATTTTATGTGCACACCGTTGAAGTATATATTATCTATGAAGTGTTTAAAATTTCAAGAGATCCTTTGAATATTTGGGAATATTTTGATAATCTTTAACTGACTTTTGTCTCTACAAGTTAGTACTTGATCAGAATCTATGTAATTAGTACTAAAAATATCAGAAAGCCTTTATTAATCTGCTTCTAAGTGGAACACATTGCTTGGCTATAAAAATCTTTGCATTTCAAAATAATCTGATTCTTGGAGTTAAGGTTATGTGTACATGATAGAAAAAGTTATTGAGATTTCTGAATTTCATCTGTATTATATGCAGAGTTACAAGTACTATATCTTGCACCAATATGAATGGTTAATGAGATATAATCAGTACTAAAAATGCACTAGTGAAGAATTCCTGCTCCTTGTGCATAACTCCTTATGTCACAGGAAGGTACCAGTGCTATAATAAAATGATTAATTTGATAAAAGTGCATTTGATGATTTTAAATCCAAGTAGCCTAAGGTGGACATTAAAAGGAGGCACAGCATTGGTTGTCTAATTTTATGTTTCTAAACTTTGCTCTATATTTCTCTTTGTCATGGAAATTAAATATATTTCCATGGCCTTTTCAACTTCCTCACACCTTATTGCTTATTGCTTACCCACATGATTTAGATATAAAACTGGTGGTGACACCTGAGAATACATTTGCTGACCTAAATTTGTAAATGCTTCGGCTCTCTTAAGATCAATAAATAAGCTAAATCATTCATTTCTTAAATTGATTTCACTTTTTAGAAATTATTTTTAAGTACTTTTAACTCTACTGAATTTATTTATTTTAGTATATAATAGATAAGATAGTTCTCTAACATGCTAGTATGACATACTTTTTAAAATGTGAATGTTGTCTTTCAAGTAGTTCCTTTAACCCTACAGATATAAATATATATATACGTACATGCGTATGTATGTGTGTAGCTGATGTTTTCTTTTTAAGCCATTAATTTACTTAAAACATAAAATTTCATTGACTTGTAGAGTAACTTAAAATATGTCTGAGAGTCTGCAAGACTAATCAAATCTAGTTTTTTTACTTTAAGACAGTTTATAAAACCCTTTTGTATATCAAATTGGGAATTTAAGTCAATTTTGGACAGTTTTAAAAATGAACTTAAGATGCCAGAGTAGCAGATGACCAGTGTGTCAGTCCTGTTTTGCCTGTCCTTCTTGTCACACACTGGTGGATATTTCTCCACTTTTGTTCCACTTTAATATAAAGCACACAGATGTTTCAGAACAAGACTTGACTTCTGACCTTGAGGCTATTAGGGTCAGGGTCCTCAGGGCCTGTGAAATTATCACAAGCTGAGCTAAAGTTTTTCTCCATCACAGGAAGTAACCAGTAAGTAAGAAGTTAAAAAGGAGCTTTGTCAGAGAGACAAGATGGTCTCAGTAAGGGTCAGCTTCTGTAGTCTGCTATCTCTGCAGGAGGTGCATGCATGGGAGGAGGAATATAATATAACCACTGGCACATCACATATCTGTCAGGCAGCACCAGGACTGAGAAGTCTATTTAATGTAATATACCTTGTTTAGGTTTTAAAATATTAATGGCGATTATCTCAACTTCATATATTTGCTACTTTTTGTTAAGTAACTTTGATGGGGGTATGGACTAGGGGAGTACAGATGGTGGCAACTAAAGAAAAAGTGGTTCCTGACCTGATAAAATGGATTCCTCTAAACAAATAACATTGTACACTGATGAGTTTTACATAACTTTTTGACAAAGCTTGATTAATATATTTAAGGCCATTGTGTTTCTACTTAAATTCAAAAGGATTTTTAAAAGAGAGCATTGATAAAGAAACAACTAAAAAAAATGGAAATATCTTTAAAACTTTTGCTTTTGCCTAAAGCTGAATAATATTCTTTCCTATTCTCCCCAGAATTCTTAGGGGGAAAGTTGTGGTATTTAAAATATTGACAAATATTCATTCTCTCAGAATTTTTCAACATAGGTGTATTATATAAAAGTGTTTTACATGGACTCAAAATTTGAATATTAACTTTACAAGAAAATGAATTGTGAACATATTAAATTATGGTTTAGTTTTTTTATCTCAGTAGTAGTATACACATCAGACGTCAAATCCTTTGGATTCCAGTAAAGTTGCACTGTTTTAAATTGTCGTAAAATTCTACTCCTGATTAAAGACTCTGTACACACACACATACTCTTCTTACGGAATAGTCCTAGTTTGCAGCATCGTGTTTGAATGCATAGAAACTGTTTTTCTCCCATTCTCATACAAGTTCACATTTTTATTTTTAGGTCATGAATTTTAAGAAAATTTACTGTAAATGTAAACTTTGTGGCAATGACAGTTTCACCAATAGATGCAATTACTTATAGTGCTTATTGTTTGAAAACAGGTGCCAGTCAGGACCTATTCTAAAATATATCTTGCCACTTACTAAATTAAAATTGTGCATAATTGTAGTTTAAAATTGAATGTGCTAATAGATTATCTGAAAATAAATTACTTTTAAATTTAGATCACAGAATAGTTGTAGAGCTTTCGTGTTTTGCTAATTGTTGTCTTTGAAAACTGAGCACGTAATTTATGATTATATCCTATCTTAAAGTGTTGAATTTCTTCTGAAGAATACATTATAGTTAGAGATTTATTTTCAAAGCCCATGTTCATTTTATGGTAGTAAATCTTGGAACTTGATCCAGTCTAACCTCATAAAAACGTGTACAGTTTACTATAATACTGAGAAAAATGATACTAAAAATGTGCCTTTCACTGCTTTTATTCACATCATATGGTAACAACTCAAATTTTAATTCTCCACACTTTCTGTGATCCTAGTAAAAGTAGATGTTGATAAGACAGCACTGGTAGCAATTCTAGCATTTACTCATTAAAAGCAAAAGGGAAGAACTATTTATTTTATGAATTGATAGTGAATTTTTGGAAGTAATATATCTACCCTATGTTATCTTTTCTGTATATTTAAAATAACACTGATATATAAAGTTAGTTATTAAACCATCATTTATGAAGCCTTAAATTTCTCTCTAGAAAATTCTCTTTTATATGTGATAGAATTAGTAGTAATAATCAGAATGCATTTACTAAATGCATGCAGAAAGACAGCTACAAATAACACGGCTTACTTTTGCTTTATATTAGTTGTTAAAAATTGAGCTCTTTTGTTGGAAATTAACTGTCATTAAAGAAAAATGCAGTTTTTAAGCATTTCCATCATCTCTTTCTCCAGCCACTTTGATGAAGTGATGATTCCATTGCTTCCATTGTTGGTCATTTCAAAGTGCTTTGCTCTTGTCTTTCTAGGTGATGGTCAGTTTGACAAAATTAAGTAACCTTAAAATTTTCTTTTATTGGTAAATGTTTGCTTTCCTTGTCAATGCCTGGTTTCCAATCTCAGCTCACCTTACCTTCTCTGTTTGCAGTGCTTAGTAAATCAACTTGCATTCAGATTTTTTGTCTTAGTCAAAGTGAGAGTGTTGATTTTTTTTTGTAAAAAACATTACACAATTTTAGTGAATATGTTTCATTAGTTTATTGAATCATCTTAGCTGATACAGAACTAATATTTTTTTCTTATTACTTTTATTTGCTTTTCCATATTATTAGTAGTGTGTTCACAACCACCATTAAAAACATCACTTAGAAATGTGTGAAAACCGCTTCTTTTGAAAGTGTATCTCTACCCACTTTTGATTTTGGTTTCTCCATGCTTGTCAGCACTTGATTGGCATCTCACTTGCATGTGAATTAAGGAATGAAGGGAACTCTTTTCCTGCCATTGTTCCATGCTGGGCTCCCTAGCCTCCAGGCAGCCTAAGCTGACCTTCAGCAGCTGAGAGAGGACTAGTTGTTGGACATAGCTGTGTGAGGACGTTCAACCTCAGTCTACTCTGAGTCAGTCTTTTAGAATTGGCCAGAGCATGATTTGGATTTACGCTGAAGAGAAAATGGAATGAGACTAAAAGAATTAGTTTTACCTTTAGTGACATCAGTTAACTGTGACCTTAAAGAAGCATCATTTACATTTTGTCTGGAAAGAACGAAGTAAATTGGATATTGGTAGGATATCTGCTTATTATGATCAATGAGAATAGCTGAAAGTTAGGCTGCTGGGAATCAAGAATTGAGGAGAGGGAGAATAAGGAGAGAGCAACCAAAGAAAAATTGAGCCATAATAGTATCAAAATAATTCAGGCCCCAAACACTTCTTACAAACCTACTTAAAAATGTAGGTAATTCAGTAAAAATAAGTTACCATTTGTAATATAACTTGAATTTCTGATTTGGCTGCCTGCATGATACAAATAGCACGTTAATATATGGAATGATTACAACTTGTTTTATGGAATGCTGTCTTAATTCTTTAGTTGTTTTAAAAATGAAAACAATTTAGTTTTTGCAAGCTCTTTGAAAGAGGAACCAGAGGTTATATCATTTTTACCTCTATTCAGTTTTATTTCATGCCATGCATATAGTAGAAATACTATCTTTTGATTGGTTGTTGATAAAGCTAATTTTAGGAGTTAGACGCAAGAGTCCGAGTGAGATCCAATGAAGGGCTTTACCGCCACAGAAGTAGTGGGAATGGCAAGGAAGAAGCACACGTTAGAGATGTTAAGGAGACAAATTCTCCATGGCTTAGTGACATTGGATCTGGAA